TGCAATAGTAATCTTCTATAATTGATGTCTATTTTTCAAGGTAAATAGTATGCATAGAATTTTCTAAATAGATATCCATTCTCATTTACTTTCGTTATTATTCATCTAGCTATGATCGACAATAGTTTTTCTTTATCTGATGTTTTTTCAAGAATAATACTCAAGGGGGAAAAAGCTGACTCCGGGACTCCGAGGAACTCCACGACTTCAGATAAGAGTGAAGTCCATGCTATCATAAAAATCTGCTGTTTTCACAATCAATTATTAAAAACTAAGAAAAAATAATTATAATGTCACTAAAAAACACGTAGACTTTTGTAGAGACTACAAGAAGTATTAAGTAAATGTTCGTTGAAAGAAAAAAAAAGGAGTTCTTTATTTAATATCGACATCCTGTATATTTGTTTAAGAATCAATGATGAAATTTTTAAAAAATCGAAAATATAAATATAAAAACGATCAATTATTTGCAGATTAAGCATGAAAGAAAACAATAAATGAATGACTAAGCTAAAAAAAAAACATCAATTCGATAATAAAAAACGTTTCTAAACAAGAGACCATCAAAAAAGTAATACGAGAAGTGCAAATAAAATAATGTTCCGCAAGTAAATCTTATATTCTTCTCGTTCTTTTTGCTGATTCTCTTGTGTTGTACGAAGATTCTATTGTTGGGATCTTTCTTTTTGCTTGTCTCTTCGTTGGTAATGATGATGGTTGTTTTATAATACTTCGATCATCATCTGTTGATACTGAGGTAGAAGGTGATATGGATAGAGTTGAATTTGATGGAATGGTATCTGATAATAGTATAGTACGTACACGATTAGGTGATGATGCTTGTTGAGGTATATTATCTGATGTTGTAAATGGTTGTTAATTATTTGTTGATAATGATAATGTTGATTGAGGATTATTCATTATTTCTTTCATTATACTACATATATGCCACGAAAAAAAAATCCTAAATTGAGTATATAACATGAATTGCAGAGAAAATTGACTTTTAATCAAAAGTGCGTTACTTTTCTCAAGGGCCAAAATTGTGAGATAGCCTACGTAACAGAACTTGATGTGCTCTATCACCAGCAGAAATATCAGAGCGATTGATTGTTGTCGCATAAAATGCGACTGGCCGACATTGTAGTGAAAAAACGACAAAATAGATTTTTTGAGAGTATCTTATGGGATCGACAAAAACTTTTGAAATTTTGTACCTAGAAGGAGAATATCTCAATAGTTGTAGTTAGAAAAACCAGAACTCAAAAGTCTTAGATATTGAAATACAAAAGTCACTTTTACTAAAAAATACCACCTCAAAATCGGTTAAAAATCGATGTTAAAAATTATCAAAAATTTCGTTAGTATTTCGACTGTTTGTATTGGAAAACGTGGTCTGATCGAGCTGAAAATTTCAGGAAATACTAAATTCACTACTCTCTATAACATATAAAAAAATCAGCGAATTCTGAAATATCAATCCATCGTCGATGTGTGATTTTCTCAGGCACTCACTCTTAAATTTTCTACACCAGCTGAACGATGTTCATGTGCTGGAAAATTATGTAAAGAAGTATTTATGCTTGATAAAGAATTTAAATCATGGGATGGTACATCAGCTGATAATGCAACTGAATATCATTTTAATATATTAAGTAATATAGCTGATGTAGTTGAACAAACAGACTTAGATTTAATTGTGCTTGAAATAGCTACATTAGCAAAAAAATATCCAACTTTAAATACGAATCAGGTTATACAAATTTTATTATTACGTGAAGATTTAACAAAACAAGAAGCAACAGATACAGCTGTAGCATATATGCCACGTGTTAATCAAGGTATTCTATTTGAAATTATGGAAATTGTTAATCAACCAAATTAATATTAAAAATCCAATAGAGAAAAATTCTTTATTTTCATTTTATACATTTATTTTCTTATATGTGTATTTTATCTGCTTTTCTTTTTGTCATAAGCGATTATTATTTCTATTGATTTCCAATAAATAAACATGTACAAAATCAATATCAGTAGATTTTTTTCCTTAAAACATAAGATATTTGATTTAATTTTTAGAGACATATTATTCAGTATTAAATCGTTTAAAATACTTTTTATGGTCTTGATGAACATCTTCATTTACATGAGTATTTTTCAGAATGCTGAAGTTTTACTTGTATGAAAGAGAATCGTCTTCGAAAATTATTTAACAAAATATTCGTCCAGAAAAAAAGCTGCAGTCCGTATTTTAGTTAAAACCTTATCATAAAAACGTATTTTGAAAGCCCGTGGAATTTCTCCATCACTCTGTATATTTATATTTTAGTTTATACTTAACCATTATCAAAATAAAGCGAGTACAATGAAGGTACCCTTATGTCTAGATTCCCACAGACATGAATTTTTCATTGTCATCAAAATTAGTTTCTTAAATTTGCATCACTATAGAATTATCTTTTTAGAAAAGTAATTATATATTCTGATAGAGCTTGAAATTCTCTATCAAGCCATATAATTTTGCATCCCTTGCGTTTATGTGGCGATGTGTTGAAGAATAATTCCAGTATTACATCGGTAATTTCCTCGAGAAATCTTAAAAACTGGATTCTTTTTTGTAACACTTTCTTTTTTATTTCAACTTTATTATTAGTATAAGAATAACTTTTTAAACAACTAATTATAGATTCTGATAGAGCTTGAAATTCTCTATCATCGTGAACTTTTGAAACAAAAGACGAAAGAGATAGGAAAAAAATTATTTCTTTTTAGAGCTTGTCAACTAGTGTGTCGAAGTGATACTGGAATTATTTTTCAGCACAAATGCAAGACGATTCACGAATATACAGGATGATAGAGAATTCCAATGTCTATCAGGATATACAATTGCTGTTTGAAAAGAAAATTCGCATAGGAATATAAATTCAAAAAGAAAACTCGAAGGAAGGAAAATGCAGATTTTTTGTACTAAAGATTCAGAGTATGTTCATTGTACTAAATTTTTTTTTTCTGTATATAAACTCAAGAAAAGAGATAAATATACAGGAAGATAGAGAATTGAGGCTTTATTATAATCTATAATTACTTTTTTCAAAAGGTAATTCCATAGTGATAAAAAATTTTAAAACCTAATTTTGATGACAGTGACACAATCGAGCCTGTCAGAATCTAGACACGAGGGTGCCTTCATTGAACTCAATTTTTTTTTGGTAATACATATGTTCAGATGAAAATCCAAATATACAGGCTGATAGAAAACTCCTGGCGCTTTCAGAATATGTCATTCTCTTTTAAAAAAGTACACTGTTATGATAATGATATCCTCAACATACAGTGTGCAATTTATTTTTTCCACGAATATATATAACACTTTTCGGAAGCTACCAAAGAGAGTATTTTTTAAGCATGAAAAATTTGTCACAGAAGTTCATGTCATGGTATATATATTTATAGCTTAATAATTGATGACAATCTTTTCATGCTCAAAAGATACTCTCTTTGATAGTCTCCGAAAAGTGTTATATACATGGGCTTGTCGAGTGAACTTTGCTTTAGAAAATTTGCTATACCATTATGTGCACAAATTCTGCATTAAAAATATATGATGATGGATATTTTACATATTTTTAGCTTTACTTTATTACGTTTCTGTATTTTAAGCCATATTTTGCCAATCTTCGATCTCTTCATTATTAGAATTTATAGCGGATCTTATGTCGTCGTGCAAAGAAAATCGACTATGTTATACATGATTATAAAGGTTAAAATCGATTTGAAGAAAGTCATTTATAAAGTGTCACAAATACGTTGGAATCACCCTATTGTGTTGATCGTCGTTTGCCATATTCTAAAACGAGAAATTAACAGCTAATGATAGTAAATATTATTTCATACTTACATTTATTGACAAGAACTATTGTCAATAAGAAAATTTTGTATTCTCCCATTCACACTATCAACAATATAAAGATTTCCTTCACTGTCAAATCCTAAGTCAGCAGGACCGTGAAGTTGATCGGAATGGGAACCTGAACCACGATCACCAACAATCACAATGCCATCTGTTGATCCAGGTAGCTATCGTGTGATTCGATGATTGCCCCCTTCAGTGATATAGAGAGCACCCGATTCATCAACAGCAATTGAGTGTGGTTTTGATAGTTGATGTGTACCATTATGTTCTGATCCACCGATTACAATCGAGATATTTGTTCTTCCTTCGTCTATCTGAAACACTCGATCATGGTACATATCAACCATATAAATAGATCTATGTCGATCAACAGTCAATGGGAAAGGTCCAACTTCACCAGACATGAGTACTCGACCATTCGTTACACGTTTACGATATTTCTTCAGTTTTGATGAAGATATAGACGATATATAAATTGATTCTTCATTATCTATTGCCATGCTAAGTGGTCTAATCTGTATTACTCATTATGTTACTTCTGTTAGCACCTTGAATCCATTTTTGAACTTGATTAGTATATAAGTAGATGTTTGAACAATTAATTTAAGTTCTATTTAAAAAAAGAATTTTTCAATCAAAAACAAGTGACAATTCCAAATCTTTTCTAACTTAGAATTCGAGTCGACTGTCTTATTTTTACGACTGTATAACAATCGTCCATCCTTATAGTGAAATATAGTAGTTCTTCAGAATACATTCATCCTTCTCACTTGTTGGTATTTCAGTCTATGTGTGTATATTCGAAAGTAGAATTCCAAACGATTGGTATTAAAGTTTATCGTCATATTAATAGCTAAGAAAAGAAATGAAACTGAAAATTTGTTCGAGTTGCTATATTTATAAAATTCTATGAAAAAATTTTACAAAAACATTTCATCTTCTTATCTTCTCTTGTAATAGGAATTTCTTCAATATTTGCTTTGCATAGCTACTGTATGATTAAAAGTTTCTTTCAAAGCCAAATGATAATCTCTTCATTCGAATCAATAACGATTTTAGATGATGAATAGTGATCACTTCTCGAACGAACACGTTCTGTAAGAAGCGTCAGGAGTATATCACGAGATGTAAAAGGTACACTTCGATGAGTACCACAACATCTATTCATATGTAACATAATGAATTTTGATGAAGAAGATACGAGAGCATCGAAACATAAGAGGATCCGAGTTGCGAGTGGTTTCGGTGGGGTGAGTGAGAAACGACGACCACCAAATGAAAGATATTGTAGTTGAGGAAAGGCTTTGTTCGTTGGTAATCGTTTGATCAAAGATGCAGATGGAATGTTTGTACATGACTCCATAAGAATATTAAGTTGTCGAACGAATGGCCAAGGTGAAGAAGAATGTTTAAGAAGAAGTCGAATGTCCGACCAGTATAGCGTCAAATACTCAAGTACAGAAGCACATTGACGAAATTGTTCGAGAATAAAACAACGATAATGATTCGGTGTTACAGATCGATCATACGATTTATCAGATTTGATTGGATTCGAATCAAAATTAAGTTTCAGATGACGTAAAAATGGAAGTAATACATGCCAAGAATCTAGATTTATATTCATTTCCTAAACAATCTAAATAAATGAAAATGTCCATAGATTTACATTGAATACTTACTTTAATATCAAAAAATAAAACAAGTGAATTAACATGTTGAAAATGAGTAAGAGTAGTATTGATAGATAAAGGATCACGATCAATTGTCCATTGAATATGAGTTATATTATTATTGATTGTCGATTGTCGTCCAAACGTATGGTTATATACTTGTCGTTGACTATTTAATAGATATGGAACTGTGTAAAGTACCATCAATTCATTTATCTCATATGCAACAGTATGATGACCTAAATTAAACCAGTAAAGATCAATGTTCTCAAGCTTTATTTCAGCAGATAAATAAAGTACAAAATGAAGACAACGCAGACAAATCATAAAATTTGTAATGCAGCTTTTAAATACAATAAGTTCATTCTTATCTAAAAACGAAAGAGTGATTTTATCAACTATAATCATTGATAATCTAGATTTTCTATTAATAATGCGTACCTTTAACATTACAGTTCATCAAAATTAATGATTCAACTTGACTCATTGATTTCACATGTTGTATCAATACAATAACATTAGTAATGGCTACTTGTCTCAATTGTAATGTACGTAAATGTGTTAGACTAGCTCGATTTATATTGAAATCGTTGGGACATAATGTAAGACAAGATGTATCTTCATATTCATTGTGTAATTTATGTGAAGTATATATTCCATTTTCCATTGTAATATGAAGATGTTCTATGCGCGGTAAAGTATCACATTGCATCAATAATGCTAAATCAGATATATGTTGTAACGAGAGACGCAAACGAACAGTGTTCGGAAATGTAAAGATTTGATGAGAATAAGTGGCACATTCCGCTAAAGAACTTCCCCATTCATAATATCTGTTATCTGAAACAAGAGAGAATCAAACTTCACATGATAGACATGTTTATTGGATAAAGATGATCATTGAAAACATGAAAAATATTTTCTTTATCCTTGTATAAACATCATATCTTGCAATATTATATTCACATAACCTATTCTTCTCTAAATATTTTTCCAAAATGAAAATCTTTTGAACAATTTTTCATTTTACTTGCATTCTATCCATAAAAATTTCTCAATTGAGACAAATATCTTTGTTGTAATAGAAAAGATTGCTGTACAATAGAATGCTCAATCAGTTTCTCTTAAGCTACGTCCAAAGATTTCAATCGTTCTGTTTAGATGTTTTTCGTATTATCAATATTGGATTTCCTATAGATTCTCCTCGACATGAACACATCCGAGGATACTTTTGATGCTCAGATATCCAAAATATCCTTTCTCGAAAGTTTAACATCAAGCTTTGAATGTCACAAAATATGGAACCTTCTTTATTCAGAACATTTAGAGGTCTTGAGAAAAAAAAGAATGTCTATCTGTCACTCTTATATATAATCGTTCAAATGTTTTATTTAATATGACACTAGCAATATATTTTCCAATCGATTTCTCAACGTCACAGATTTAAGAATAACTTGTTTTGTCATAGATAAATAAATTTCACTCTCACGATTAATTTAATTCCGATCTACATCTAATGATAAGAATAACAGATTGATATCATTTTGTTTTCTTGTCAAATAATCTCTCGAAACAAGTTCACTCTTAAACATATCTAACTAACCTTTATATGAAGTTAAGTAAAAAAAATTCTTACACATTATGATTTTTCAATGAATCCATCACATATATGTCTAAATTATATAGATACTGCTGTTATTTAAATAAAATAAATCATAAGAATTAGGTTGAAGAAAACAATCTATATAGAACGAAGCTTTTGGACTTGTGTGCATTCAATGATTGTAGAATTTATAACTTTCAATATCGAGCTTTGAAATATGTTATCCGATTAACATTAAATTAATTTATACATTTATTTTTTTCTGAATTCGTAAAAGGATATGCGATCATCAATGTATATCATATTTGATGAGCTACTTCGCTTTGATTAATCTAAAGTTCAACCCTACTTAATTCGAAATATTTGATAATCAGCGAAGACATACGAATATTCTTCAACAAAAACATATTTCTTTACCTCTAATAATGATAAATTGCATTGTATGCAGAGAAATGCCTTGTTCGATGAGCATTTTCAGTATAGAATAATATCTATCGACTCGATCGAAATAAAATACAATACGACGTAATATCGATGCATGTCGACGAATAAGGAGAATAACATTTGTGCGAACAGATCTATTAACAAGATCTATATAGACTGTACATTGTCGAATACGTGGAAGAAAAGATGTATCATTTTCAAGCCATCGATTAATAATTTCATTTGATACAGCTGATTCATTGAGCAAAAGAGAAGTTATACGATAAGCGATCATTGGATGTTCATGTTCGAAACAATGCAAACATTGACCGTACGTTGTAAATGATATCGACGAAAGTGACAAAGCAACTCGATTCCGCGCTACTTCAGCTAACATTTGAATACGATTATTAAGTTTCCATTGAAACCAAGTTGAATTTAGTTCCGACCATGTGAAATAGACGAAAAGTTCTAACCACAATTCATTTGGTAGATCTTCTAATCTAGTAACAGTCATGACAATATACACCGATTATCTTTGCAATATCATATGAAAAACAAAAAGGGTATGTATTACATATATATAGAGTAGACAAACAATCTCATCCGTCCCCGTAGTGTCAAACTTGAAACTTGAATTCAATTGAGTTTTCAAGTTTCAAGTTTCAAGTGAGTTTTCAATTTTCAATTTTCAAGTTTCAAGTTTCAAGTGAGTTTTCAATTTTCAATTTTCAAGTTTCAAGTGAGTTTTCAATTTTCTAGTTTCAACTTTCAACTTTCAATGAAAATATAAACATTTTGGAGATATTGATTCACTAGTGCAGATAATCTTTATATAGTGGTTGACTTTGAATGCTGATCCATTCAGATATATATTCATTCAACTTAT